CAGCCGCGCCTTCCTCCGCCTCCTCCTCCTCCGCCGCCGCCGCCTCCCCCTTCTCCTCCCCGCCGCGGAGGGACGGAGCTCTCCGCAACGGCACGGTGGTGCCGCATCATTACATGGTGGCCCTGTACCAGCGCCTGGCCGCCCGGCGCGGCCCCGGCCGCCGCGCCGACACCGTGACCGGCTTCGCGGAGCGGGCGCGCAGCGGTGAGTGCGGGTGCGCCGCGCCGGGCAGCGGAGCGCGGAGCGGCCGCCCGCCGCGACTCCGCCGTCCGACGGGAGAGAAGTCGGTGCTTGGGCTTCGGAATGCGTTTGGGGATGAGGATGCGGCTTGGGGATGGAGACGGTGTTGTGCATAGGTGTGGGGATCGGGCTCCTGTGTGGATGTGGGAATGGATGCGCGGGGTTGTGCATCACTCTGAGCGTCAGTCTGGGGGTGTGATGGCACACGGAGAGGATGTTCGCATGCTGGTTCGAGCACGGGGCTGTGCCTGCGACAGGACTCTGCGTTGGCTGGGCAATGGGGCTGTGCGTTGGTTTCCGCACGGGGTGGTTGCAGGGGATGGAGCTTCACGGGATAGGGGCTGCGCATCCCGATTGTTTTACGGGAATGAAGCCGTGCGCGAATCTGAGCATGGGAGTGGGGGCGAGGACAGGGCTGGGAGTGGGGTTGTGCGTGAGCATACGGCTAGGAGGGCTGACGATGGGGACAAGCAAAAGGTTTGTGCCTGGCACCGGTGAAGGGCTTTGCCGACGGAGATGAGCGTGGCGCAGAGCGGGGGTCTGCGGTGGCGATGGGGCTGCACACGCAGTCGGTATCAAGGATGGCGCTCGGTGCTGGGGATGCGGTTCGGGACGGGGAGCGAGGTGCAGCCGGCCAGGACGGGGTGCGCGGCGGTGCGGGGCTCTCGGGACCTCCCCCGCCTGATGCGGGGCCGGGGGTGCGGCGCGCTTTGACAGCAGCTGCTCCGCGCGGCATCCCCCGTCCTGCCAGGGCCTTTGCAGCCCGAAAACTCCACGGGGCACCGCGACGAGCCGGGCCGGGCCAGAGAGGGAGCGCAGCCACGGTGTCCCGGGGGTGCTCGGCCCCGGGCGGCCGCGGCACTCCGGGGTGACTCCCGCTAACGCCGCCGGCTGAGCTCGGCATCGCGGTGCCCTTCTCCCTCTTCGCCCTCTTCTGCTCTCTTCATACCCGCGAATCTAATAATACCAATACCAATACCAATAATAATAAATGTATTTAGGCACCTAACGATATACTTTTAACAAATACATGTATAGATACGTACTTCGCACCCTGCCGGCCAAGTTCGCTTGGCTGCGGGGAAAAATAACATATTCCCGATCGAATAAAATTAAAACACAAAACTGAAAAGCAACGTCAGCCTCACCCCGTCCCTGTCGCCGGCTGCCTTTTGGTGGGAGAACCCCCCTAGCCCCATTCCCACACCCAGAAGGGGTCGTATCCTGCCGGCACCTTTTGCGGGAGGAGGTTTTCTGCAAGCTGATGGGGAAACGTCGGGGGAGCGAGACGGGACCGGGAGGAGGATGCTCCGGTGGGAGGGTGGGCAGTGCTCGGCTTTTGAGAGCTGAGCGAAAACTGAGCACAGGTCCTGGGAAGTTTCGGCGCAAAACGAAACCAGATGAACTCTTCAAAGGGTTCTCCTTATCTGCTCTTATCTGCTTCTCATAGGAAATTTAGATCTGCTTTTCAAATAGTAATTTTAATAACCATAATGAATAATAATACTGCTATTCATGGTAATAATAGCAGCAGCAGCAGCAAATGATAGGGAGAAGTTTCCCCCGCGGCGGGCGGTGCAGGCTGCACCCAGCGGAGCTCTCGGCGGGGGCGGGCGGTGCGGGGCGGGGGTGTCGGGCACGGCTCTGCCGGCAGCGGGTCGGGGCGCTCCGGGCACAGTAGAGATGTTTGCAGCATGTCCAGGTCAGGTTTCTCGTTAACGAGGGAGAAAACAAAAAGCAACCCTCCCGGAACTCAATTCACCTCTTCTTCCCAGCTCCACCTCCTTTGGTGTTTCTTTTTTTAATTCACATTGAGTATATTTATTCAGTGCCAGAAACTGCACAAGTCTGTGTCACGTCTTTGGATCCACTAAAAGTAGTGCCAAACTGAGGCTGGGCTCGCTTTCAGCCGCATGTGTGACTGTGCCTGTCTGCGAGGGGAAAGTGGAATTTTTAATAGCGCGTGTATGTGTGTGAGACTTGGGGCAGAAGTAGGTGACAAACTGCTGACTGGGGATGGTAACGTGCTGCACAGGTTCAGGTGTGGCTTCCGTGACAAAACAGAATAGTGCATCTGGGGCCACTGGAACACCTGGGAGGAAGCAAAGAAGCCTCATCAGGATGTGGAAAAGAGTGCTGATGAAAAGCCACTTGTTTGAATTGATTCCTCCCTCCCTCTCTACTTTCTCCTCCCCATTTGTTTTTGGTGTCCCCAGCCAGAGTGATGCTCCTGGATGCAGAACACCCAGGCTGTGTCCCGCTGGGATGCGCAGCGAGATCTCCCCCATTACCTTTGCATCCCTTTCACCTTCCTAATGAGAGCTTGGCTTTGGCTTGCTGATATTTAAATCTTCTTTTTCTTTTTTTTTTTTTTTCCTTCTGTGTTATCTCTTCCAGATGCCTCCCCATCCGCCTCGGAGCAGCGATACCTCTTTGACATCTCCAGCCTGCCTGAGGCAGAGGAGGTGACGGCTGCCGAGCTGCGGATCCTGCGCTCCCTCCCTGAAAACCGGAGCTTGGCGCTGTCCCCCGAAGGCTCCTTCCACCACCTCCTCCTTGCCACCTGCCCCAGCCGGGAGGGCGAGGAGTCCCGGCTGCTGGACTCCAGGGCTGCAGACATTTTGGACACGGGCTCCTCCAGATGGGAGGTGTTTGATGTCTGGGAGGCCTTGCGAGATCGGAGGGAGAGCTCGCCGTCGGGAAAGCTGCTGTGCTTCGTGCTGAGGATCGCCTCGGACCGCTCGGGGCAGCTCCTGCCGCCCCGGCAGCTGGGCTTCGGCAAACCCCGGCCGCAGCCCCACGAGCGAGCCCTGCTCGTGGCCTTCTCCCGCGCCCAGAGGAAGGAGAACCTCTTCAAGGAGATCCGGGACAAGATCAAGGCCCTGGGCAGCCCCCCGTTCCTGGGGCCCCCCGATCCCGGCCAGGAGGCGTATCTGAAGCGGAGGAAGAGGAGGACCACCATTGCCGCCCGGTCTGGGGGCAGGGGCCACGGGAAGAAGGCGAAGACTCGCTGCAGCAGGAAGCCCCTGCACGTGAACTTCAAGGAGCTGGGCTGGGATGATTGGATAATCGCCCCCCTGGATTACGAGGCCTATCACTGTGAGGGGGTCTGCGACTTCCCCCTGCGCTCCCACCTGGAGCCCACCAACCATGCCATTATCCAGACCCTGATGAACTCCATGGACCCGGAGTCCACCCCCCCGAGCTGCTGCGTGCCCTCCAAGCTCAGCCCCATCAGCATCCTCTACATAGACTCTGGGAACAATGTGGTTTACAAACAGTATGAGGACATGGTCGTGGAGACGTGTGGCTGCAGGTAGCAATTTCTGCAGCTCTCCCTGTCCCTCTTGGCCTTGCTCAGCAGCCCTGCCCATTTTATATATATATATAAAATATAAATATATATATATATAAAATATCTCTCTCTATATATATATAGATATATACACACATACACATTTTGGTGTGTGCCTTTCCAAAAGCCAAGCTCAGAGCAGGTGTTTCCTGTCTTCCCTGGGCCACCCTGGCCATGACCCCAGGAGGGATGGGGGATGCCCTTCTGAGACTGAGGCTGCCACCATCTCTGTGCCTTGCTGGGTCCCTCCTGGTAAAGGGGGACACACAGCCTGGCAGAGCCCACAGGGAATGTCTCCTCAGCCTCTGAGCTCTGCCTGATTCACTTGGTTTGCCTAAGGGAGCTGACAACTTCTTTCCCAAAGGAATTGGAAAATGTCTAGCCAAAATTGTCTTGGTTGGAATCATGACCTGGCATGGGGGGGGGGAGGTGGAGTGGTGTCTGCAGCAGAGGGATTGGGTCAGCATCACCCTCTGGCTGTGGCAGTGGGATGGAGGTGAGGTAGGAATGCTCTTTTCTTTGAGTTAAAGGAGTTTGTCTGGCAGTCTTCAAATTGCTGCCCTGGGTTTCCTGATAGAAAAATAAGAGATCCCTGGGGAAAGGCAGGGGGTGGAGAACCTGTGGCTGGTGTGGGTTGTAATCACTTGATCCAGGCCTGTTTGCAGTGGGGAGAGGTTTGTGAATCTGCTGGCAGAGACAGGAATGAAGGAGAACCAGAGGCTAAAAGAGTCAGGTCTGAAGCAGAACTTGTGCTCTTACAAAGATGGGATGGCCCTGGGAGGTGTTAGCTGGAGATGCCTCCACTCCACATGGTCAGAAGAGCTGGTTTTGTTTTCTGTGTCCTGCAGGAGGTACTGGCTGGTGAGGCCCCTCACTTTCCTGCACAAAACTGCATTTCCAAGGCATACTGGAAACCCAGCATCAGGTCCGCAAGTCACACAGTCATCCTGAACATGAAACAAAGATCCCAAGTTCCCTAGGGAAGAGCCATTTTGCTTGGGTTCTTCTCTTTCCAAATAATCTCTATAAATGCACTAAGCTCCACCCTAGCTTCCTTTGGCATCGATTTCCCGGGGAGCTGTGTCCCTCCCTGGAGTGCTCCCTGCTCCATTAAAGGAGCTGGATCCTCCAGGAACAGACTTTTCCCATGCAGAGGGCTGAGTGTTACCCTCAGGGACTGCTGTATGAAGTGGGGTGCTTTGACGTGTGCTGAAAGGGCTGCAGGGTTTTAGTAACTCAGGAGCTGAGTTAATAAATTACACATTTAAACCAGAGAAGCTCTTATCCATGCCAGGGTGTGCTTTGGATGCTGGGAAGCTTTTCTGCTGCACCTCAGTGGGTTTTGGTACCAAACTTTGGCTTCCTGGGTGGCTTGGCTTAGACCAGAGATGTGTTTGCCCAGATTTGGTGTTTGATGGTTTGTTTTTTCCTCATGGCCAGGGTGTTAGTGTGTAAGCATCAGTGCCTATTAGCGATGATAGTTTGCCTTTGGAAGAGAAAAGTCCCTGCTGGAAAACATGGGGTTTTTCCTTCATAAATCCAGCTGTCCTCCATGGCAAGGGTGTTCTGCTGGGAGGGCTGAGCCTGGCCAGGGCAGAGAGGGGGTCGCCTTAAAGATCTCTACTGAGATTCAAATAATTTCAAAGATCAGGAAAGCCTTGGTGAGGTTCAACAGCCCCTTCCCCCCAAGTGCATCAGTAGGAAGTAACTGTGTCCATTGAAAACAGTGACAGATCCACTGGGATAACACCCCCAGCCTCCCTCCATCCGTACCCACAGAGCCTGCTCTGCATCCTCAGGCTGGGCCAAGTGGCAGCTCAGAGGAGCGAGTGTGGTGCCCAAAAGTGTCGTGTACCTGCATGGCTGACACCTGCAGAGCTCCTCTGGCTTTACATCCGTGCATCCAAGAGGAAAACCCATCTTCCTGCCTCAGCATGAATATAAGTATATGCTAAGGATGTACCTGTCTCCAGGGGGATGCTCAGAGATGGAGGTTGGGTGGGGAGGGGAGGAAGGATCAGGTCCATGCCGTGGGTTTTCTCCCTGTCAGCATTTGGGGAGGCTGAGGTTCCTGAGTGGGTGAGGAGGGGTCAGCACGAGGGTTTGTGGATTTCCTCTGCCCTTTGGCTTCAGCACAGCTGCCTGGGGAAGGAGGTTGGTGCAGCAGAGCTCGAGCTGCCAGATTCTACATCAGTTATAAAGTTACCAAGCTTTGGAGGTACCTAATTTTTAAATTGCCTTTGGTTGTTTGATAGCTTTTCTCGCTGCTGAGACAATTTTTAAAATGGTTTTGTTTCTTTTACCCCCTCCCCTTTCTCCAAATATTTGTGGTAAAGGTTCATGGGCAGTTCAAATCCAAGCAAGATATATATATAGCTCCTGGCAGCTGCTGGTGGCTCTTGTGAGCCTTCACCAAAAGGTGTCCTGAGACCTGCTCCTGTGGTACTGTGTCCAAGGGGAGGTAATGCCAGTGACTCCCATTTTTGTGGGTTTGTTTCAGCCAGGGTTGCAGGGAACAGGCAGATCTCACCCACCTCATGTCTGGAGGTGGCTGATGTAGAGGAGGGTGACAGGTTGGCTCTTGCAACTCTTCACCCCAGCCCCTATTCTGGGGCAGTGCTCACTGCTGGGGCTTTTGTTCTGACCCCATGATGGCTCTGCTGGTGCTGGGACAAAAGCAGTGGCTCAGTTGCTGCAGTTCCGTGGCCTGGATCACTAGGGTAAATGAGAGGGGAAGATTTGGGGGAGCTCAGAGGCCACTGCTGGCAGTGATGCTGTCCATCGTTTCACCCACTGGGAACCCGACTTGGCTCTCCTGGCTGTGGGCACCCTTGAACAGGAGTGTTTGGTGGGGGAGAAAACTTCATCCCCCCAAGAGGAGCCCAGCCTGTGCCAAGTGCCTTCTGTTCCTTCCCTGGGCAAACCACCTCTGGAGGACAAAGGGAGGACAAAGGATGGAGCTGGATCCTCTTTCTGCTTCTCTAAGGAGTCAAGGGAGGCAGCTCCCTGCCTGGGGCTGCTCCAGGGGGATGTGTATGAGCAGGGCAGGGCTGGAGGAGAGTGGATCTGGGGGCTTTGGTGGGGAGCTGTGCTGCTCCTCCCGAGTGAGTGGATCGGCTGCAGGGCTTGGCTGTGACGTTGCTCGTTGCTCCCAGAGGAATATTTCCAGAGCAAAAGCCACCACTGTCCCCCTCATGAATCCCTGCGTGATGACTGCAAGGGCTGCCTCTCCATCCCCAGGCAGATTTGGAGATTGCACAAAACAGTGGGACTGGTCTGGGGCAACGACCATCAGAGGCGTTGCAAATGTGTAGAGGTTTAGGTTAAATATTTGGGGAAAAAAGTCACAGAAAGTGTTACGAAGCTCTGCCCAGGGAAGTGTAGTCACCATCCCCGGAAATGTTCAGAGACTGTGTGGATATGGCACTTGAGAGACAGTTTAATGGTGAATATGGTGGTGATGTGGGGTTGATGGTAGGACATGATCTTTTCCAACCACTTCTAAGTGGAAGTGGTGGGTGTGAAAGCTTTTCCCAGGCAAGGAGGTTCTCTCAGCTGAGTTGTTGCAGCCCTACACTGCTGGGGCAACACAGGGATGTGTCTGTAGAGGGCATGGAGCAGTGAATCCTGCCTTTGGAGAGAGGTTGGTGGGGCACTGGCTGCAGGATAGCAGTGGCCCAGCCCAGCCCCCATCCTTGGAGCTGCTTCTCTGAAGAAAATCACGCTCTAATGCCAAAGGAAAGGCACAGAAAAAATGTATTTCTGATCAGTTGCTTCTTGCCTGAGCTGATTTTTGGGCACATGTAAACTTTATAAATATGAGACTAGAGGTTGATCATGGACAAATATTAATTCAGCAGTCTCAGAGTGATTTTAATGGATAATTATAGGTTCTCAATCTGCAGTATTTATACAACCTTTCCAGTTAAAAAAACCCCAAACAGTTTCCATGCAGTGCATATTCTACTGGAGGATTTGTTTGACCTTGAGCACCATTTTTATCTGCAGGATATAATTACACTGAAACTAGAAATATTAAGCATTTGAAAAGGACTGTGGATCCATGCCTAACTGGCTCCCTTCTCTCTGACATGGGAATGTAATTGCACAGGAGTAGGGAAACTTGCAGAGTGATCTAATTTTACTTAGAAGCACTGGGGCTGGGATCTGGGGAAACTTGCCCAGTTGGGACAGGGAGTGACTGGTGCTTTATCTGGGGGTTCTTTGAGCTTGTGCTCAAGCCATTGCCTTCAGGAACAGTCAGAAGCAAAATTGCTTTATTCCTTGTTTAACCCTGGTCACCAGGGCTGCTTCTGGTCTAGAAATATTTCCCAAGAATCACAGATTTTATTTTTTTAGAAGAATTATTGCTTTTTAAGGGCTTTTTAAGGGTTTTTCTAACCATGTGTCCCCCCACCCCCCTTTATTCTTTTTTCATCATACTTCAAATCAAATGACAGGAGGGAAATCAGTATCCTCTGGCAGAGAGAAGGATTCATATGGAAAAGGGCTTGATGTAGCTTCATCCTGGCACAGCTGCATTGATCCCAGGGGCCTCACTGATCAGCACTGGCAGATGGAGCCACACCCTCTTTGCCTGTTGGCTGGTGGTTGGCATACCCAGGAGGAAAAGGCTGCAAAGGCACCAGTTCTGATTAAAAGCAAGCCCCAAGCCTTGAGCCTTCTGCTCAAGTTTGAGGGCCAGCGACTCCTGAGTGCGTTTGCACCCCGTGGGTTTTAACCCAGCCCTTGGCTGTGCAGCTCTCACTGGGCAGTGGTTTATCCATCACACTGCTTGTGCAAAACAAACAGCTCCTTTCACAGTTTTAAGCCCTTATCCCACAGGCACGAAAGTGGCATTTGGGGACAGTCACCTGTGCTGGCCCCCATGGAGCAGCAGACACACACACACACCCTGCTGTTGGCAGGGAGGAGACAAGACAGGCTGGGGCATCCCTTGGCAGCCCCTGGGAAGGCAGGTCCCAAGGGCTGCACCTGGGCAAATGGAGCCTTGGACGCTGAGGGGCTGCCATGGCTTTGCTTCTAGCCTCAGGAGTTTTGCCCTGAGCTTCTGCTTGTCGTGATTGTATCAATAGCAGTGTTTATAGTTACATCAAAACCCACAGGACCCATGTTAATGTGGCAGATACATCATAAATACCAGCCCAGCTCATTCTTGTGTTGGACTATAACTGGTGGGAAATGCCATGGTTCTGAAATCCAAGTGCCTTTTCTTTTGTCTGTGCTGGGGCAGCAGGGCCATGTGCCACGGAGAAAAAAGCCTCAGTGGGGCAATGGCAGCTCTGGGTATTGCACAGAGGCTGCCACCTGAAATGGGGCTGTGCACATGTGTGTGACATGATCAGAACCAAGGGCTGTCTCATGGACCTTGGCTGGGCAGTTCCATCACACCACGTCCTGTGTCCCCTGTCCTGGGAGCAGCTGGAGTTGTGGGCTGAGTTTTTCACTCTTCACATCACGCTCTGGGTAGGT